CAAGTCACACTCATCGTCTATGCAGTTTAATCTTCTACTTTCTGCTTCCAATTGACTTTCAAAAAGGGAGCCATCGATAGCCTCACCATCAAATAGTTGCTGTTTGCATTTGCTACCACTGGTGCTACTTTCCGAATGACCTGCCTATCGAAGAAGACGGATATGGAGGAACTTTCCGCAAAAAAAAAGAAACTGAAACGAAACAAGGATTTGAGTTAACATGCTAATTCAGAAGCCTGTCATATTTTTACAACGCACTGTTGTGAGAAACGTCAAAATGAGCAGAACCAAAATCAAGAAATTTGGTGATACTAGCCTTGCAAAGGTCGAGTTCGGTCTGCACTTGACTCTCTAGCGACTGAATATAAGTGAAGATAAGGGGGAATGAAATCATGCACGAGGTGATTGCGCCGGTGGCAAGCACGATTGCCAGGAAGGCGCTTGCCCTCATCGAATGAGGGCGCGGCTTCTGATCGTCCATTCCTGGAACCAAGTGCTTTGTTAGAATCAGTCCTCAGTTTTCGTTCCGCCATCCAGAATTCGTATGCGAATTTTGTTACCAAGCAACTTTAAAGACTGTTTTTTGAAAAAACTTGAAATTGGATATTTTCACAAAATTTAATAGTGAAAATATCGATTGGTAAATTCTTTTTCAAAGACTTTTGCAATAATGGAGAATCATTGGCGACGCGCACCAGGTAGGCCAGCGCGATCATGCGTTTTTGCAGTATTTTGTGCTATAGTAACACCGCCTGGAATCCCAACGGCTGGAATTTGTGATGGTCCTCGAAGTTCAAGGAGTTAATTGTACAATTACGTGGTACTTGGACAGGGAACATTTTCAGCCCCCGAGTCAGCAATTTTCCCACCAAAATTATCAGCGATTTTCAATGGCTCGTTTCTGAGAACCACGCAAGCCTGGGGGTTGGATTTAAAATCCTTTAGTTCTACGTGGCTAGGAAACATCTCCTCAAAATTTCAGTTATGTAGCTTTTCTGGTCCACGAGTTAGCAATTTTCCCGTCGAAATTTTCCTGCGCTCATATGCAGGACCCAAACATGCTAAAGGTTGGTACTGCGGTCTTGGGACGGCAGTCGGCCCGGGAACCACTGACAAAATTTTAGCGCCGAAACTTGCTTGGTTGTCGAGTTGAAATACCCGGACCGACTCACACACACATACACACACACACACACCGAGGTCGTCATAGTATAGGTTTTTGCATTTACGCATAAAACCGCTTTGTGATAACAATGTTAGTAGTGATAAGACTATCCTTCTGTGTCTGTAAAGGTGAATTATGGAAGCCGATGTGCTAAAATTACAGAAGTAAAATTTTCAGCTGTACATACAGCTTCAAACTGTAATCAACATTGAAGTTTTGGTAGTTCCTCAGCCCAAAATCTCAGTTTCAAATTCAAACTGATTTTATGACCCGAGGGTTAGGGAACCGCAGAAATTTCGAAGAATTTCTGCACCAAATCACTTGAGCCGAAAACAATAAATTAAATTTCAGATTTGTCTGCATCGTGGAATGCGATTTAAGAAAAATTTCATGACGATTTTGAAACTTTGAAAATTTTAAGGTTTTATGATTTGAAGACAAATAGCGCCAGAAAATCGAAATCTTAAACACAAATTTGCCGCTTAAAGTGGTGTAAATAGAAGCACTCATGCCTCACCACTTGGCGAGCCTCTTTTTTATGCCCAAGTAAAAGCTATTATTTAAAATATGGTACGGGACAAGTCGTAAACGCAAGATTCCGATACTTCTCATGTATCGAATGGATTTTAAAATCATCAAGACAAAACGATTAATCACCCTGCTTTATTAATTAATTAAATTACTCGCTTGTACTTGCTCAAGTCCCTCGCAGCGAATACGAAATATCTTCGAAAGGAATTGCTTTTACGATGGCTTTTGGTACATGGGAAACCATCAGAGATACGTTTATCAATGCTCCGATAATACGGTAACAGTGCATCAACCAATCACAGATATCAAATTTTTAACTTTCTGATCATTTATTCTGTAGACAAACCTAATAAGGAAACTTCAAAAAATCTCAGTTTTTCTCATTTGAAGCTAGAATTTAACATTTGTTTCTTAAGGAAAAGAAATAAAGAGAGGTTTGAGAAGCTGAATTGCAAGCAGTTGTAGACGTCACGGCTATGGGAA